ACATTAATGTGCAAACATCATATTATCTCCTTAGTGTTGGTCCTTCCATTTAAAGCTTGATCTACATTTATTTATTTATTTTTTGGCAGAACCGGGGATTGAACTCAGGCCCTTGCACTTGGCAGGGAAGCGCTTATTCCACTGAGCCATCTCCCCAGCTTGATCTACATTTATTGGCTTTGACTAAATAAGCATTTTGTTATTGTGTAAATGAGATATACCTATATTGGGTAATAAATCTATGTGTGGTCATTAACAGTTTCCTAAGTTGGCAATAATGCTAAAGATGTCTTTTAATGTTTGTCAATACAGAGTTGACAAGAATTCTGTATAAACTTGCTTTAAAAAAAATACAGATTTGACCTTGAGAGTAAACACTAAGTAAATACATGCACAGATCTGTGTAGCTGTGGTATTACTTGTTGTGAGCCTCACAGAATATTACATACATATATGCCTTCCCAAGTACACAGCTCTTTTTAAAACACAGGACTTGAGAAAGGCGTCCTAACATACGGATGACCTCCAGCCTACAGCTATTCATGATGATGGACATTTTCAGGCTTTTGTTGATGTGACTGTTACATAACTGTGTGATGTCAGATGTGCCTACATCTTACACAGTTGAGACAGTGTCATCACAATGATCACAAATTAGACATTAATAACCTGTAAAGTATATTTATAAAATATATAAGCATGCTCTACTTTATTTATTTATTTATTTATTTTTTGGTGGAACTGGTGATTAAACTCAGGCCCTTGCTCTTGCCAGGGAAGTACTTATTCCATTGAGCCATCTCCCCGGCCCCAACATGCTCTACTTTAATGACATTCTATTAAAAGGTAACAAATTTAGATAAAAGTTTAAGTCATTTAATATTTTATAATTTGATAAAGGTGACTGACTGAAATGGAAATTTAAATGTATTTTTATTTTATTTAAAAAAATGTACTTAGTACAAGGTCTACAGGGCTTCACTACACAAATTGAACTCGTAGTGATCCTCCTGTTTTCAGCCTCCCAAGTGCTGGGATTACAGGTGCTCACCACCACACTCAGTCTCAATTGCTGGCTCAGTGCACCCAGGGTGTGGGGCTGGCACGGCGGGCTGGGGATTGAATCCCGGCTAAGTAAGCACTAAGCTACTAAGT